AAAATTATTCTGCAGCTAGGATCACACATTCTCATGTTTACTGTTCTTTTATTGCCCCCCACGGTCTGTGCTCACACGGGAGCCAGCTGTCACGCGTGTCCTCAGACTCCATTTCCCGGGAGCTGCTCCCCGGCGTGGAAAGACTGAGCTCTTCCTCTGCCCCTCGCCCCCTCGCAGCCCCCTCTCTGTCCGGGGCCGTGACCTCACCGGCTTCACAACCTCACAAACGCTGAGGTTAATAAAATTCTGAATCGGTTAATTAATATGGCTGGATTGCTGGAGGTTTTTTGTGGTATATTACCTCTAGGACTGCTGTGGGTCAGGTTTTGCAGTTTTATTAATGACAATTACATTCAGGAGATATGGAGGGGTGTTTTTTTTTGCTAACGGAAGGAGCCAGGAGTCTGGCCGCAGATAACGTTTACTGTGCCCCTCGCTTTTACCTCTTTCTTTCAAAAACAGCCTCCTCTTGTTGCAGGAAGAGTATACTTTTGGTACCTCCCTTCCAAACCACTCAACACAGGCCTTCAGGGCAAAGCGTGGAACAGCTTTAGATCATTGAACCAGACTGTCAGGCACTCAGCAGAGCTACAGTATGCAAACTGACAGAACACTTTGTCTGATAATTTCCATTTTTAGGAAGGGGGCATCATTTTAGTTGATGATTCATGTCGAAAAAGGAGAGACTTTGATGGTTACAATCTGTGCATCTGCAGCATCTTCTTTGTCACACACACTAGCTCTTTCCATTGCTTGCGTTTCAAAACAATACAAACTGGAACAAAATAAAAGACAGTTTCTGCCTCCGAGCTACATGAATTTTTTAATTAGGCCATTCAACTGTCATAACGTAAACCATGTATGAGACTTCCTGTATCAGCTGTCCTTAATTGTTTCTCGCTGAGTCACACGAGACACTTTTTATATTGGCAGTCATCGCCTGGAGGAAAGGGCGGGACAGCGGCGTTGCAGTTACTGCCTCGCAGTGTTCAGAGCCGATTCTGAACTTGGGTTCCTTCCGTACGGACTCGGCATGTCAAAGGAGTGCTGTCCAGGTTAATGGCCGTTCCTAAATTGCGACTGTGCTTGTGTGAGCGTCCTGTCCGGGCTGTAATCTCTGATCAGCGAAGAGCGGCTTTCTGTAACTCAGCAGATGGACGGACGTGATACTAGTGTCCCCACGCCCCAGAGCCTGACAGTCACTGCAAAACATTTTGGGCTTCGAGGACTAAAATTCAATTTAATCTCATTAGCTCCATCAAAAAAAATTACGTGCTACAAATGTCGTGCATCTTTATAAAAAGTGGCAGTTGTGCTCTATTATAAAATGCTCTCAACAGTGGACTTTGCTGAAAAAAAGTTGCGGAACTTTGATAAGATTACAAGAGCCCAAATCACATAGGAGCCAGGGTGTAACACAAGCCAGCAGCACTAATATCTCGCTGTCCTTCTCTGCATTTTGCCGTGCCTTGAGAGGGGCATTCCTTGGCACTGTGCTATCCAAGGCTTTTTTTCTCGTCAAACAGCCTGTTTGTTTTTTTTTTTTAATCTTGCAGCACGTTTTGCATTAAAACCCAGCACGCCTTGCAGCCGGAGAGCTTGAACACTTCAAAGATGTTGCGGAAACGGGGTAGTGTGTAATTGTGGCTTAAATGCTTAGGTCTTATTTCTGCACTTTGAGTCTTTGTGTCACTTGACTTGCATCTCGTTTTTATTTTGTTGGAGGTAGGGTGACCCTTTGTAAACCTCTGCTAATGACCTTTGACCCTGAGCCTGCACACGGTTTGTTTGAAGGGAAGACGTTGAAGGGTTGGTTGCTCAGGGGTTTTATCATCCCGTTACATTTTTGCAATAGCCCTATCGCAGAGCAGTTTGTGACACCATATCGAAAATATAATCAGACTTACAGATCAGTAGGTACAGCAAAAGGGCTGTGGAAATGCTCTTGTCAGAGCCTTTGTAGCAGGGCTGCCCAACCAGTCGACCGCGATCGATCTCGGGTGTGCTTGCCAGTCGATCGCAGGAATGTTTGACAAAAACTAAATGGGCTATTTGACTACTTTTTTCGATAGCCTAAAAAATCATTCAGATCTGTGCAAGTAATGTCATACATTTTACTGGCCTTGTGTGTGTTTAACCCTTGTCAAATGGGTAGTAAAAGTCTCTTCCCTGAGTGCTGGCTGACAATGTGGGGAGGCTACAGGAGCTCCGTCAACAGTGTTGTGTTCGCTACCAAGAACGGTCTCTTGGTTATTGCCGCACGAACCCCACAGTGCATCTTGGAGCGAAGCAGACTGGCCGTGACAAATTCGCCGACAGTTCGATAAGTTTGATTGCCTACTTGATAGTTGTAGTGTTTGAGCGAAAATGAGGAAGCAAAGAGACCGAAAACTTACCGTTAACACGAGGAATGGGAGCATGATTATTTTATGTGTCTGTACTTTTGCATTCAAATCTGCAATGCTAGCGTGTACGCGAAAAAGGGAAACATAGAACATTTCAAAACTGCTCCAAAATATCTGATGTGGACTTTCCCGTAAAAGAAAAGAGGGAACGCGGCAATCGTCGCATCGTTCCGTGGGAGTCACGCCCTGGCTCGACACAAGAAGTCATTCAGGGATCGAGAAGTAATGAAGAAAGCGTGTGCTGAGACGGCTGACTTGCTGGTTGGAGATTTCAAAAACAAATATTTTTGGCGAGGTTCAGACAGCTGTTGCCCGAGTTTCTCAAGTCGTCTAAAACACCGTGAATATGCCCACTTAAAGAATGACCAGGATCTGGATTGAGTATTTCTCACAGACTTGACTGAACTGCTAAATGAGCTGAAAATCGAGCTGCAGGGACAAAATAAAAATGTCATCGACATGATCAGCAGTGTCAACACGTAAAAAAAAATTACAAGTGTTCTCAAGTAAGCTTCTCACTGCCAGTGCTCACATTAAGGCAGGATATTATTTATTTTTTTGTAGAATGGGGAACATGACGGGTTCACTGTAGCATGAGTCACTTGCTTTTATTTGCTGTCATTTTAGTGATGGGTATCGTTATTGTACTGATGTGCCCACGGTCTGTTTTTCTTATATCAGAGCTTCAAATTCACACTGGTAGATTGAGCTGGACTGGCAAATAGATCTTACATTAAAAAGGTTGGGCACTGCTGATCTACAGCATAGGGTGTGGATGCACAGTTTACCCCTTCAATTTTTTGTGAAGCTGGTATTGAATCAAGACTTTGCAAAAGGATGCTTTTAGTATTCTAACATGAGAAGAAGTTAAGGGAATGTATGAAAAGCAAAAATAAGATGTCTTAACTAATCAAGTAGTACATTGTAAGTAACACTTCTGAAACTGCAGGAGACTTGAGCTGCTAAAAATGTAGCTGTCAC